ATTCGTTTTGAAGACGTAATTGAAGTGGGACACAGTATCATGCAGTGGGATCAAGAGCACAGGCCCCTGGGTCAGACTTCGTGGGTTCAAGTCTAGCTCTACTCTCACTATTTGTGTGACCAAGGGCAAGTTATTATATATCATAAATATATTCCTTTGTCTTTAAAATGGGGATAATATTACCTACCTCCTAGGGATCCTGTACAGACTAAATGAGGTAATTCATGTAAAATGCTTGCTTAGCACAGTGCCTGGCACAGCCTTGCCTAGTTCAAGGACGGCAGGGAGTGGGGGAGGGGTTGCTGTAAAGCCTAAATAACATAGGGTCTAGAGAAGCACATTCTGAACTGAAAAGTGCTTGGAAAGTGAGCTGTAGTTGTTAAGAAGGATGTTGCGTCATCTTTTCCACTCTTACAGCCATCTTCGTTGTCACGTGTGTAATGCACTTTGTAGTTTGGAAGGCATTCCTCCCCGGGCCCTCATGACGCCCTCTGAGCGGGAAGAGAAGCTATCATCTGCTTTTGCTCCAAGAGAGATGATTGGCCCCTGACAGTGGCCCAGGTGCCACCCTCTCAGTGTGTCTGTTTCCCCGAGCTGCTCTGAGGGAGCCTGATATTAAGGGGAGAGAAGAGCTGCACTGCTCACACAGCTACTGTGGCAACGTGGCTGGCCTCTCCCTGTGGCCCCTGCACAGCAATCGTGAAGCCTAGAGCAGGACGAAGCCAGCGGGGGACTCCTGCTCAGAGGCTTCGCCAGGCTGAGGAACTGGAATTCACACACAGTCCACCTGCCTCTCACACCTGCAGGTACGTGCTCAGCTCTGCAACTCCAGTTTCTGCTGGGAGGACAGACCCAGCCAGCCAGGTGCTGCCGAGCGAGCGGCCGGGTTTTCGGGCCTCGCATGTACAGGAAAGCGTATCCTCTTAGATCACTCCCCCTCGGCAGGTAACTCAATTAACAAGGCGTTTGCTGGTTGATGAGATCGAACTTTTCTGGCAGCGATAATTACTGCTCCTGATGATTTAATTAGTGGGGGAACTGAATGACTTTCATCCCGGGGTTTGGGAAGAGGCACAAGCAGACTGGTTGTGGATATTACTATCTGAGGAACCGACTGAGGGTGTTGAGAACTGAGACCAGAACGTTTGAAGTTTCCAAATCTAAGGGACACCCCCTCCTACACATGTCAGTACACGTGACACAGACACCTCCCAGGGCAGCAGAGGCTGTGTGTGTGAGCACTTCTATTACACTGTCTCCCTTGCCTCTCGTGCAATCTCGTGAAGCAGGTAGGAGAAGGGTTGTTATTATCCTACTTTGTAGGTGAGGAGACTGAGGCTCAGAGATGGGAAGTAGCTTCCTGTAAGACCCTCTGTAAGTTAGGGGCACCTAAGACTCCTAAATCACAGGTGCGCGCTCCCCCCCAGAGATAAGCACTATTCAGCTCTGGTCTGACCTCCCCTTCCCACAGATGCCCCCGTCGTGGCTTCCCATACAATGAGAGAAGGCAGAAGTCATTTCCTCACAGTGCTGGGAGTGGTTGCTGGTTGCAGGGCTTGGGGTAGACGGGCTGATGCTGGAAGCCCTGGGAACACTGACTGAGCTTGGGGCTGCAGCTGCCAGGCGCGGCGTCTCTGTGCTGTGGTTCTGGTGGGTGGGGCTGTGGATGGCGGTCCCAGGCGCTCTGGCAGAGTCAGCTTCGGGCCTCGCTGTGGTAGAGGCTAACGTCGTAGTTGAGGTAGATTGAGGAGCTGGAGGGGAAATACCATGGAGGTGACTTGGACAGAGAATTTTATTGACTTAGTGCCTACATTATTGCCTCTCTGGACTTTACCTATGAACTCTACTTATGAACGTATCCTCATGGCTCAGCTCAAGGGCCACTTCTGGGAAGCCATCCCTAATCCCCCGAATGGACTGTGATCTTCCCTTCAGCTGAACCCCAAGCACTGTGTCTGAGTTTATACAGCATGCTGGTTTGAGAAAGATGAGCTATTACAACAATGCGGAGAATGAGGTGTGGGCAAGACCACTGTCAAAGTCTGGGAGGAGGGAAAATCATGTACACGCATCCTGTTACACCCTTAGGGTTAAATTCTCACTCTACTTTAAACAATTGCATCTGGAAATCATAAATGATACAGTGGACTTTGGCTCAAACCAAAGGCCTTGGGCCTGCACCAAGACTTGGGAATGAGTAGAAATTTATATGGTTGAAGTATGAACTATTAGTCCCAATCATGTCACAAAGGGCTCCTATGTAATATGTTAAGTTCTGGGCAAGAAACAGGCAAGCTCATAGCCACCTGCATATAAACAGTGATAACGCCACGGGGATGAAGGTGGTTTTGTTTTTAATTTATTGACTTTAGAGAGAGAGGAAGGGAGAGAGCGAGAGAGAAACACGGAGTTGTTGTTCCACATATTTATGCATTCATTAGCTATTTCTTGTATGTGCCCTGACCAGAGATCGAACCCGCAACCTTGGCATATTGGGGTGATGCTCTAACCAACTGAGCTACCCAGCCAGGGCCAATCAAGGGTTCTTAATTTGAAGTCCTAAAGGGGTTCCTGAAAGTCCTGGGGGGAGTGAGAAGAGGAAAGCCTTGGAAGGACCCTGGGGACACCAGCATTGAAGGAAGGTGAAACAGAGGAGCCCGCGAAAGCCACAGGAAGCCAGAGCAGATGGAGGGAGCCCAGGAGCACACAGTGCCCAGGAGCCGGGGGAGGGAGTCAGCAGGAAGAGGTCTGGCAGGGCCAGGCCACCCCTCCTGGCAGGTCCGCCTACCTCGGTAACACCGCTTCATGTCGGGGCCCAGCCACATGGTGTCGGGACAGGCACACGTGTACTTGGGAGAGTGGCTGGAGAGCTGAGGAGCAGGCAGGCACAGGTACTCGCAGCCGCCGCTGGGCTGGGCACTCAGCTCGCAGGCATCTCCAGCTAGTGGTGGGGAGGGAGAGAGGCAGGCCCTTCCAGCACTGGACCTGGGGCTGACCCCACGCCTTTGCTCATCCTGACAACAGCTCTCGGAGGTGGGCATTAGGCCCCAGACTGACAGATAGAAGCAGCTACACTGACATGGAGAATATATTTGTTAAGGCTGTACCTCTAGGAATTTGGGAGACAGATTTAAACTGAGGTCTGTTGGACTCCAAAGTCCAAGTTTTCCCCCTATGCCACCAGCCATTTCTCTTTCCTTTTTAAATTTCTAGATCTAGATCAGGCACCCACCTTATCTCCTTATCCCCTATGACTTTTCACCGCCACCCTGGCAGCCAGCCCCTCAGTTAGTTAGACTTCGGATACCCTAGAGACAGAGGAGGCGACAGCAGGTGGTAGGATTCCTGGCTTCTTTTCCAACCAACCACCTGCATTACAATCTGGCCCCAGGATTCACTAGTCTATGCTACTGTCAAACACATGTACTAAATGAGAAGCCACGTGCTCCTTGGGGCAGAGGAGTTCTGGAACCGGAGCTAACAATATTTTACCTCCGAGCCCCCGCATCCTCAATTGTTAAACGAGAACAGGAACACCCACACTTTGTAGGACTGGCAAAACGAGGGCACGTATATATTTATTTCTTTATGCCCAGGCTTATTTCACCAAGAGTCTGCTTGAGGCAAAAGGAAATAAAACATGTGACAGCTCAGCGCTCCACCAACCGGAGGGGCTGCTGCCACTGATCCTGGGGTGCTGAGCTAGTACGTCGCATGCGCCTAGCGGAGGGAGAGGCCGTGGGCAGGGGACCTGGGGCCAGGGAAGGCTCACCTCTCGGCTGCTTCAGCTCATGGAAGATGACGATGTCGTGCGGGTTATTGAGGTTCTCAGCCAGGACGGAGATTTCCAGGCCAGTGAGCCGATTTGCACTGAAAATGGCCTCGTTCTCCAGGTCTGTCCAGAACACCTTGTCCTGTGGGCACAAATGCAAAGGATGGGAGGCCTAGAGCCTAAACCCAGGACCTCAGTCTGAGGGTTCAGCCCCAGAGCCTGGTCATAAGAACTGCCCTGCCGTCTCCCGGAGCGCTCCTGTGGCCGCTGACCTGTGGCATGTGCCCGGCTCCCTCTGTCTGACAGTGTCGTTGGGTGATTTTGTGCTTTGGCCTGGAGGCTGCTCGTTAGAGCTCGGCTAGGCCTGCTTCCTGGGTCTCTGTTAGTTGTTACCCATTACTGGGGCCCAGGGCCATGACTGGAGGGGATGTGTGAGCTACTGAGGACTAGTCCCTGCTGGGCTGCCTACAGCCTCTGGGCATGACACATACGGTGAATCCACACAAGCCTGGATGTGCATCCGCAGAGATGGCCACATGGACAGGAACAAACATGTAGCCTCATGCACAGAACTGGACACATACCCACATGCTCATCGACACACACAGAGGCACACTTGTACCTAAATAAGCACTTGTGTAAGTACTGGTATACATATTTACGTGCACAAGCACCAGCATATACAGGAACACATGCTTTCTTTTCTTTCTTTTTTTTTTAGCAAGAGAGGGAAGGAGGGAGGGACAGAGAGAGAAAGAGAGAGAGAACATAGATGTGAGAGAGATACATTGATCGATCGATTGCTTCCTTACTGGGGACTGAACCCGCAACCAAGGTATGTGCCCTGACTGGGAATTGAACCCACAATCCACAATCTTCCGGCGCACGGGACAACGCCCCAACCAACTGAGCCACACCGGCCAGGGCAAGGAATGCATGCTTTTAAATGTATTCATGTACACACATGCACATACATGTATTTTACACGCGCGTGTCACAAATATGCACAAGCACATACACGTGTCCGAACACACCTGTCTTGAAGCAGGGGCTGGACTTCCCCATAAATTCAGAGCATTGCTGGGTGATGTCGCTCCAAGCAAACACTGCCAATGCCCACCACAGACCACTGTCCCTTTGCCTTCCCTCCCTCGGTGGCAGAGTGAGTTTTGGGGCAGAAGCAGATGTGTGAGACCTTGATTGGTTCTTGCTTCTTTGTTCCCCGAGGAGAAAGGTTATTAGGGTCAGAACAAAGGAAGGTCTTAACTCTCACCCTCCTGGGAGCTTCGTGGACTGGGATAATGTTTGATTCACTTCTATGACCCCAAGGTCCAGAAAAGGTCAGTAAAAGTATGTTGAGTTGAACAGTATCTTTCAGGCCATTTCCAACAATAAATGATTGTAAGGAAATACAGATTCCTTTTCCCCTCCTTCCTCCCTCCCTCCCTCCCTCCCTCCCATAACTGGGTACCTTCTGTCTATGTGGGCTCAGTGCTGGGTGCTGAGAGTTCCCAGAGAAAACACATGTGGTCTAGCAACTTACCTCTGCGCTTGCTCTGAGAGCGGCCTTGGGAAGCGAGCACAGGAAAGGCAGCCTTTGCACGGAGGCCGCTCACAAAGACACAAACACACCGGTTGGCTCCCCTGTCCCTTGTTTCTATCTGGACAGCCCGCAGGGAGCCACCCCATCTGAACAAACTTTCTCTGGGGCTTCGGTTTCCTATGGGCCATGCCTCCCTCACGGCGCTCACCTCAAACACAGCCACCCCAAAAGGGTGGCCCAGGAAGTGGGGGGAGGAAATCAGCATCTTTCTGTGGCCGCCGCTGAAGTCAATGCTGGACAGCTGGTGCAGCTTGGAGTCGACCCAGTATAAGCGCTGGCTCAGCAGATCTTGGGGAGGAAAAAGGGGGCGGGGGATCAGGCCACCAGCCTGGGACCACAGCCTGCGTCTCTGCTCTTCTGTGTCCCCTCCCTGCCCACATCTCCAGGCCAGGCCTCCAAAGGAGGCTGTCCCGGGGCAGCCATCAGGACGCACGGGCCCTGGCACCGCGAGGGATGCAGGAACAAGACCCGTGGGCCTTGGTCAGGGCCAGGTGCTAGCACAGCCCCCACCTGAGGGCAGGGCTCACCCAGGGTGATTCCGTTGGGCCACTCAATATCGTCTGACACCAGTGTGTGCCGGTCCGCACCGTTGAGCCCAGACTTCTCAATCTTGGCCTGGTACCCCCAGTCAGACCAATACATGAACCTGAAAGAGAGAAGAACCCACAGGGCTTCTTGTCAGGGACGTGGCTGGGTGGTCTGGATCACAGGGCCCGATGACCCGCTGAATGCTGAAGATGGCACGTAGTAAGGGCTGGAAGCCTGAAATCCATGGGAATCATCAAGCTTGGCGTTAGCAGGTGCTTCAGCCGTCACCTCACCTGAGTGCGGGAAGCCTGTGCTCCCCGAGTGTCCCCGGCCTCTGCGGGGTGGCCTGGAAGCCATCTCTCCCGTCCGGCGCTTCAGCCAGAGCCCTGCACGCCAGTGTGGGAGGGCCCTTGCCCACCCTCTCGTACAATTCCGGTCCACAGAGGAGAAAGTGGATGACTACCAGGGCCACACAGCTGGACTGCCCAGGGCTGCTCTCTCTCTTTCCTGAACATGTACTGAGGACTCCCCATGTGCCAGGCACTGGGCTGAGTGGTTGGTTTCACCTCATGTACCTCCATCAGGACTATGGATGAAGTCAAAGGGAGAAAATCCTTTCTAATGGGCAGAACTGTCCGCAGATGAGAAGGGGACGGGGAATGATGAGCCTGCCTCTGGGAGTGTGTGAGCAGCCGCCAGAGGCCCACTGCAGCGTGAGGACAGGCTCCCTGCCCGGGAGCATCTACAGGCAATTCCCAGGCCCTGCTCTGTTCTGAGACGCTCTGTCGCTGATTCTATGACAGGATGAATGAGCAGTAGAGTCCTGGAGACTGAGGGGCCTGCGCGGACTTTCCTCCCGTGGGCTGTGTCTAAGGCTCTCCGAAGCCCTCAAGATAGCCCTGATGACAGATGCATGGGGACTGAGTGACTGTGGCCTCCGGTGGGAGAGCAGGAAGCCCCAGGTGAGGACACTCACCCTCGCAGGGGGTCGACGGCGATGGCCCGCGGCTCACTGAGGTCGTGGCTGAAGAGAGTGCGTCTGCGGCTGCCATCGACGGTGGCCACTGAGATGGTCTTGTTGCCCGAGTCGGTCCAGTAGATGTGCTTGTGGACCCAGTCCACCGCCAGGCCCTCTGGAGAGTGCAGCTGCTCGTCGATGAGGACCTCCTGCTCTGCCGGGTCGCTGGCCTTGTCCATGTACGCGCTAGGAGCAACCAGAGCTGGCCGTGGGGCAGGTGCTCTACCCACACGTCCCCCCGGAGCTGCCTGTGCGCCCTTCTCTCTCCTCTCCCCCCTCTGGGTGCTGGCAGTGGATTTCAGAGGAGCTCAGCTAATTTCTACTCAATGCATTCCCTGGGCCACCGGGGTAAGCGTATAGGCTTGAATCAGCCACAGCCTCCAGCCCAGAGAAGTTCATTTCAGTGGGCGACAGAAATCGACAGCCAGACCATCACAGTGCAATGTGATTCCATAAACCACCCGGGGCTGTGGCAGCAGAGAAACGGAGGCTGCATCATCCTGGGGGTTGCAGAAGGCTTTGTAGTTGAGTCCTGATGGACCGTGCTTTAGGAGCACAGAGAACAGCATGCAAACGCCCAGGGGTGTGTCCTGGAACGCTGAGTGGAGGTGGAGCTGGGTAGTGGGCTATGAGACGGGAGGCAGGTGGGAAGGGGCCACATCCGGTGGGCTCTGCATGCCCCCCTGGAGTGGGATTTTCTCACGGAGCAGGTAACTGAACAGGTCAGATGGGATGTGAGATCACCATGGCACCTGTGGGCTAGGAGGTGGATTGGAAAGGGTGGAATGTAGGCAGGGAGACTGGAGGGGGCTGTTTACTGCGCCCAGGTGAGAGAGAAAGAGGGCCTGCGGGAGGCTGTGCCGTGAGAATGGAGAGAAGGGGCTGAAAACACAGTAGACGCCCAGGAGGCAATATTAACAGGACTTTCTGTCTCCCAAATGCTGTTTCTCCCAAGGGGGTCTCCTCCCCCATAACCTCTCTCTGGGAGGTTAGTGCCCACTGCCATCCATAACTCTGACGCTCCCATCCCGGCCACTCTCTGAAGCTCCGGACTGTAAAGCCAGCTGTCTCCCTTGGATGTCCAGACACCTTAAACTCAGTACATCCAGGGCCCCTCACCTCCACTGCCCTCCCTCAGCCAGCCTGCTGGACGGCCCCAAACCCCACCTCAGAGAACAGCACCACCCACAGCACCTCCCGAGCCAGAACCTAAAACTCCCCAAATGAACCTGGAAGTTCATCTGACTCTTCCTCCTCAGCCCCGTTTCGTCTGTCATCAAATCCTGCCTCTTTCAGTGACAGCTGTTGGACAGGCAGCTGCTTCCGTGTGTGTGTGACCTGAGTGTGTGTCTCTGTGTTGGGGGTGGTAGTCATTGAGTTGTCAGTGAGTAGCATTTGGTATACAGTGGGGCCTTGACTTATGAGTGTCCTGACTAATGAGTTTTTTGAGATACCAGCTGTCTCTCCGCCGATTTTTTGCATTGAGTTGATAGAGTAATTTGAGTTAACGAGCTCCTTAACGAGCTCGGTCTCGGAACGAATTAAACTCGTAAGTCAAGGCCCCACTGTATTTGTTTCTACCTACCCATCCATCTGTCCATCTGTCCATCCACCCATCCATCCCGTCAATCTTTCAACACTCTCCCCAGTGCCTGGTCATGGGCAGGTCTGCTAAGTGGATGGATCTCAGGACGAAGAAAGGCTATGGCTGCCCCAAGGGGCCGGGACATGCAGGGAGGCAGGCTTGTGGTAGCCGAGGAAGAGCGGGAGGAGAGGATGAGTGTGTGAGGAGCTTCCTGAGCGCTGAAGGTCACCGGCTGGTGTCACAGACACAGAGAAGGGCTGGTCTGGGGGTACTGCATCGGGAAGATTTCCCTGACCCCCCTGATGGGGTCGGAGGCCTCCTCTGTGACCCCCCCATGACTCACGATCATCACAATGGGTGTCACTGTACTGTGAGTGGGTTCTCCAGGCATCTGCGTCACCTTGAGTCCTCAGGATCCAACACACAGGCCTGTGAGCTGCTTTGAAAGCCCTCACCAAAGGCAGGGACTGCTTCCTTTCTGCAGGGGCTGAACTTTTCCTGGGTCTTGCACGGCCCTAATAGGCCGCCAGGTGGCAGTCAAAGCCAGGAGTGTGGCGCTCAAAGCTGCTCTCCCAATGGAGCCACAGCCTCAGGCCAGGCCAGAGGGTATGGGTGGGGGGAGGGGAGGGGTCCTGCAGCTCCATAGCCACTGTGATTCTGTGTCCCTTCCTAAGCCCCAACTCTGTCCTGGAGAATTCCAGGGGCAGAAAGGGCACAGAGGCCGCCCTTCCTCTCTTCCCCTGTCAGCTCCACCCCCCAGGCCTGGCTGCTCACCTGTAGATCTTGCGGTAAGAGAGGTCACACCAGTAGATACGATTGGTGGCCACTTCGACGTCTAGCGCCACGACGTTCTTGAGCATGGGGATGAGGCGTGAGTAGTCGCGCTTCACCAGGTCTATCCTCCGCACCTCGTGCCGGTTGGTGAAGATTAGGGACGGGCTCCTGCCAGCTGCCATGCAGAGAGGTTGAGAGAGAAAGGGTCAGGGCAAGAGGTGAGGACCTGGAGACCAAGGCGCTGCCACTGGTTTGCTGGGCGATGCCTCATTTTCCTGTAGAACAGGTGACAAGTCCTACCTCACAGGTTAGAGGAGCAGATGAAACCATTGTTACAAAAAGCGTAAGATGCAAAGATACCACACATAACAGAAGGACTTTTCCTCTGTTTATTTATTAGATACAAATTCCCCCAATCCTCCCCACTTCCTCCTCAGTGCGACCCCCAGCTCCCTGCCTAGCCTCATCACTCGCCTCTCCAACACACCGTGACTCCGACCTCCAGACCACCTATCATCACTTAGCCACCACTGCTTTGCTGCCTCGGGGCCTTTGCTGAAGCTGTCCCCTCTACCTAGAATGCATCTCTCCCCAGCAACTACCACCTCCTTTGCTCAGGGCCCCACTGCGATAGTTCAAGAAGGGGCAACGTGAGCATTAAGTGTTTTACGAAGATGACTGAGGATCAGTATGGAGGACAGACACGAGCTGGGGTGAGATTGGAGGGAGGAGACTCAGGGAGGCCACAGTGAGTCTTTAGTTTATGGGGAGTATATGTGGGGCCATAAGAGATAAGGCTGCAGAGGCTGGCAGGGGCCAGACCCTGAAGTGTCCTATCAGCTGGGTGAAGAGTTTGCACTTTATCCTGAGCCAATAGCAGGGGTGGGATGTGTGCAATATAAGACACAGATTATGTACGTGTATACACAGAACCCATTTATGGACTGAAGATTAGATTTCAGGAAGGACCTCAGTGACCCAGACATTTCTGGCTACTGCATATGGAGGGCACACCATGTCCCTCGTCTACTCAAAACCCTCGGAAGCTTCCCCTGACCTAGAGTGGAACCCAGAGTCACCCCTCACTGGGAGGGGGAGACCTTTGTGATCTGCCCGCCACCTCTCTGACTTCCTCCTGTCCTCCTTGCTCCAGCTGCACTGGCTTCCTCACTAGTATTTGAAACCAGTCATGCTCCTACCTCAGGGCCTTAGCACTTCCGTTCCTTCGCCTGTTGCTGTTCCTGCAGACAGTGCACGGCTCACTCCTTCACCTCACAGGTAACCTTCTCATGAAGGGGAGGGCTCCCTGACCACTCTACCCAAACGGCAAGCCACTGCCCTCCTGCACTTCCCTCTCCCCTTCCCGGCTTTCTATTGCCCCTTAACCCTTATTACTTTCGGCCACGCACTGCATTTTGTTTATTTATCTGGTTTCTTGTCTGTCTCACCCACTAGGATGAAAGTTCCATGAGGGCAGACAAGGATGTGCGTCTGTTTTGCTTACTGCTGAATCTAGTGCCTACCACGTTAGGTGTCCAGTACAAAGGACTGAATAAAATGAATGAATACAGTTGGCTGAACTGACCAGTTAGGTCTGCACAAGCCATGCTCTTTGTGTGGGCTGCCTATGCTGTGTGGATAGTCTGCATGGTCCAGTTTGTCTATGTGTTGTTTCTGTGGGCTGTACTGGGGGGCTTTATGTAGTGTCTGTGTGGGTGTTAGTGTGCAGTGCAGCGTGTGTGACGTGTATGTGCACTCCTAGTACTGTGTGCGCACACCCACTCCTCACCTATACGGAAGCACACTGCTTTCTGTACCTCCTCAGAGCTCCCCTCCCCCCACACCTTGGGGCGTCCATACCGACAGCCTTGCAGTTCTTGGTCAGTGTGTCCATCTCGTAGCCAGGGTGGCACTCGCACTTAAAGTAGCCCTTGTAATTGACACAGATCTGACTGCAGGCGTCTGGGTCCTCGCACTCATCTATGTCTGTGGGGAGGAGCAGAGGTCAGACTGGCAGGAGGCTCTGCCTCTGCCTGGGGGTGTGAGGGGAGGGTCTCACCGCCACAGGTCTTCTGGTCCAGGAGCCGGTAGCCTGCTGGGCAGGTGCACTCAAAGCCGACCTTGAGGTCATTGCAGATGTGGGAGCAGCCGCCGTTGTTGTGCAGACACTCATTCAGCCCTGGAAAGAGACACGGGCTCCTGAGGGTCCAGGAGCCCAGCCTGGGGTGGGGGCCAGATAGGGGTGGGCCAGGGCTGAAGCAGAGCCTCAGGGCAGCGGGACTGCCGAGGAGCCAGGATGCTCTGTGGCCTCACTGAACCTCAGCCTCATCAACCAGGTGCCTGGGCAAGAGGTGGGTCAGAGAGGAGTGGTCCTCGCTCCAGGCCAGACACACAGGCAGGGACAGAGTGGAACCAGAACTCGGGTCCTTTGCCTCCCAGGCCAGGGCTCTCTGCCAGGCTGCAGGCCGCTAGGCTGCCTAAGGTTTTTCCTTTCACAAACAAGTTTCTTCCAGCTCTTCCTTCCTCATGGCCTCAGAGTGGAAGAGGCCTGCATGTACTATGTCCAACCCTCAGGATGCCCCAGCAATCCCCCCTGAAACGCCCTCACTTCAACACCTGCAGCCTCAGCAGCACTTCCCCCTGAGGGAACAAAGTCCCTCCTCGCAGGACCACCTCTCTGTGGTTTCTGCTCCTGCTCCCAGCTCTGCGTGTGGGGCTGACCAGAGTCTAACAGCTCCCTCAGAAGCTCCTTAAAGCACTGATTTCTGATCCCTACCAATCAGATCCCTTGCTCTGGACACACCCCATCTGTCCATGTCCCAATTGCACAGGGCCCAGAGCTAGCCCACCGTGCAGAAGTCTGAACAGTCTCCCCGTACTGAGTGTGTGGTTACCTAAGATCCCCAGGTCATTTTCTAGACTGAGCTGTTGCTCAGTCAATGCCCTCCTACCATGAACTACAATGGATTTTTTCACCCCTCCTCCAGCACCTGTCTATTCCTACGCTTAGCCACAGGCCGGGTCCTGGGATTACCAACTCCTGCAAAGGATGAAGGGATGCCAGGAGGTCATCTGGTCATCCACTCCCTCATCACCTTCTGGCAGGGTCCTAGAGGAGGTCAGGGAGGCCAGGACCAAGGCTCACAAGTTCTCACAGCATCTTCTGAGCTTTAGGATCACAGAAGGTTAATTCTGCAAGCCAAGGGAAGGTGCCACCACCCCTCTGCCCTCCAGGCTCATGCACCACCACTCCAGCCACGCCAAGCAGAGCTGAGCGGAGCCAGCCGTGACCATGCAAACAGCTGGTTTGAGCTGCCTACCCCAGGCCATGCACAGCTGTGGTGCCCCACCTCCAGCCTAAGCCATGCTTGGGGAATGTTCCCCTTTACCCCTGGGCCTCCTCCTGTTTCCCTGAGATGCTGGTAGAGCTGAAAGAACAAGACCACAGCAACCCTATGACTGGGGAGGCCTAGGAGGGACTCAACCAGGCCCAGCCCTGGGAGCCCCAGCCCCTTTGCATGGGCTAAGCCATGGTACCTTTGGGGTGATATCGGTAGAGCACCACCCCCAGGAATCTTGCTGTCACTCCAAGCCCTCGCTGACCTCTCCCACACCACAGTATTCCCTCAGCACCACCCAATCATTTGTTTCCCCACTCACTCCCTGCCTCACTCATCACCCACTCACGTCCTCTCTCCTTCTGCAGGTAGCAGCAACTCAACACTTGTATTTACAGGAGCCCCCGGTGGAATGGCAGGTGTAGGATGGCTTGGAAAGGGGCAGCGGGAGAGCAGAGTCCTCCAGGGCGGAGGTGGTCAGGGTGAGAATGGGTGGCGGCCCTTTCTGTCCCTGTCCCCCTTCCCTGGAAAGTGAGCACCAGGTGGCGGCTGGAGGGAACCTCTGGGCCTTCCCCGTTCTATCTAGCCTGGAGGTGATTCTTCCGGGGAACTTGAGGGGTGAGGGGGCCAGGTCCCTCAGGTCCCCCATGGAAGGAAGGGCAGTGACACTTTCCCAGCACATGCACACACCTGCGCACACGGGCATGCACACACCTGTGCACACGGGCATGCACACACTCGCCAGCTTACGTGCAGAGGCAGACAGGCCCATGGACTCCACAGACACACTCACACAGACGTGGGATCACACACAGAGTCCGTGATGCAATTCCCTTGCCTGACTCAGAGGAGGAGCCATGGATACAGATACTGGCCTCTCACCAGCACAGAGACACAAACACATGCGTACATACTTCCCTTTGGCGTGTCATGCAAAAGACGAGAGAGAAGAGTTTAGTGGGTTAGTGGCCCTTGGCTAGCTCCCAGTCTGGGCGGGGTGGGGCGGGGCAGGCTCAGTTGCTCCTGCTCCCCTATCCTCCTCTATCTTCTGGGACTTTTCTTGGCCGGGCCTTGCAGGGAGGGGGGAGGTAGTCTGTCACCTGCAAGCTCAGGTGCAGGCTGTGACCTTCACCCAGCTCCTCTTCCTTTCAAAATCAATTTTAAAATCGTCCACAGGGGCAGCAACATGCTGTTCATTCCTGTGGTGCTCCAGAGAATGAGGCTCCTCTGAGCCCTGGAGGGAGGTGCTGGGTGACAATGGGTCTGCCAGGAAGGAGGGAGGGACTGATCGAGGCTCCGTCCAAACCCCTGACCTCAGAAATGGTTTCTGCCTGTTCTCTGAGATGCCCACCCACCTGCAGCCCAGACTCCTGCTCTTTTCAGCCTGGGAACCCCCCTGACAGCTCCAGCCATCAGGACGCCCTCTCCTTCTGCTCCTCACTCTAGTCCAGCCTGTGAGTCTGGGTCCCAGGAAGTCTAAGCTCCTCAGGGCTCAGGATGATGCCGCCCTCACCCAGGCCTGGCCTGAGCCAGATGGACACCTGCCTGCTCTTCCCCACCTCGCCTCCTGCAGGTCAGCAGGGCAGAAACACGGAGTAAGAGAGAAGGTTCCAGCGTGAGCACACACTCAGAGGTCGGCATGTGGAAGGAGGAGGAGAGCTGGGTTTGTGAGAGGAAGCATGTCTATGAGCAGCTGGGCTGGGAAGGAGAGGCTGTTCTCTTCATAGAGATGCAGGACAAGGGCCCCCAAAGCAGGGAGCTCCGTCAGAGGCCGCAGGACAGTGGGGGCCAGAGAGAGGGCCAGAGAGGAACGGGTGCCCGGGGCAGGCGAGGGCCTTGGCCTGGCTGCCAGGAGGGCGTGGAGGGGGTTAGTCCGGCAGTTGGGTGCAGACAGGTACTGTACCACACTCTTTCAGAGGCTCATCCGACCAGTCCCGGCAGTCCCTCTGCGAATCACACACTTTCCCGCCGTCCACGCACTCGCCACTCTTACACTGAAATCTGCGGGGACCCTCACATGTGGACTCTGTTGGGCCAGACAAGAGAGTGGACAGCTCCTGTGAGGCCTTCGGCAGGGAGGGCTAGGCTGGGCCCAGGGGGGTGAGCAGAGCTCCAGCCACAGCGTCTCCAGAGGGTGGCCCAGGACAGACAGCTGAGTGAAGGGCCGGTGGGAGCTCTGCTCACGGGGCGGGACCCCAGGCTGATCAGGCCCAGGCGCCATGCGGCTGGGCAGGGCTGGGGTCTGTACCTGATATTGCAGTACCAGGGCCCAGGGAGGGAACAGCATCAGCTCAACACACCCCAGGGGCTGGACTGAGCATCTCCTGGGGGGACCTATGTCCAGGGCCCTGGGGAGGGGAGGCTGCCTCACTGCCCACTTCCCCGGATGACCAGCAGGTTAGGGCCTCTCCTCCTGCAGGGGTGAGGGATGACCAGAAGGTTAGGGCCTCTCCTCCTGCAGGGGTGAGGGATGACCAGCAGGTTAGGCCTCTCCTCCTGCAGGGGTGAATGACAACCAGAAGAGCCATCTGAGGATTAGGGGGCTCCCTGGGGAGGGACAGCCTCTGCTCAGTCTGGGAACAAGTGAGAAAAGCCACTTGCAGACTTGGACCTGGACAAATGGTGGGGCTGGACTTCCGGCAGTGCCCTTTCCTGCAGTCCTTAAACATCTAGTCCTGGCGCCACTTGGACCCCAGGGAGGGGGTCAGGGTGGTGTGGGGGCAGACAATGCTCGGGGGAAGGTGCATCTCGGGGACCAAGGGGAGGCAGCTGCCAACTCTGCTCTCCCCGCTGGAGTTGGGGAGAGCCCAGGGCGCTCGTGGAGGATGCTGCCCCTCTGCTCCGACCGCACGCACCGGTTAGGCAGCCAGCTTCGTCACTCCCGTCTGGGCAGTCCTGCTCCTGGTTGCAGCGCTTGACTGCAGGGACACAGGCTCCGTCCCCACACTGGAACTCGTCTCCGCGGCAGGTCCCCAGTGCTGCCAGGACAGGCCAAGGGAAAGGGTCAGAGCCAGTGCGGTGTTGGGACGGCTCCCCTGCCCGCCTCCCTGTCCACCCCTGGCAAGCACAGAACCAGTGGCTGAGCTCGGGCGACCTCGAAGGACACCTGACCAAGGCACTGCCAGCGTACAGACGGGAGACTGAAGCTCAGAGAGGGGAAGGCCGCACCGGGGTCCCACAGCACTCTGGCGGCAGAGCCAGGACTGAAACTCAGGTCTCCTGTTTCTCCCTCTACTGCCTCTCCTGGGGCTACCTCCCCAGCGGACACCGGGCCCTTTCAGTGTTGGTGCTCATCTCTTAATGACTTCATCCCTTCAGCAAACCCTTCTGAGCACCACTGTGTGCCCTCGCGTACCAGGCATGAGAACCCAGAGCCTACTAAGCGCTTCCCCGCCCCCTAGGCCTAGGAGGTCGGGGTGCGGAGGCAGGTTGTGGAGCACAGCGTGGGCTGTGTTCTAAGAGAAGGCAGCTGGGGGGCCTGTGGGCGGCCAGGGGAGACCCAGCTCGGCGGGGAGGACTCCGGAGAGCAGGCCCAGCAGGTAGGAGGGCGGCGGAGTTCCCGAGCGCACCCACTGCCTGGGGCTGAAAAGGGCAGGGTGGGAGGTGCGACGGGGAGGGCATCATCCCAGGGCACAGGGACCCCGAAGACCCGTGACCTCGGGAGTCAGACCCGAGCTCCGCAGCTTAGGAGCCACGTGAACTCAGGTCGCTCTGCTTCGCCCAGCTCGGGCCCCGCCGCCGTCAAGCAGGGCGATCCGGGCGGGCAGGGGGGCGGCCGCGCACCCCGGGGGCCGCGCGGAGGAGGGCGCTTACGGCAGTCAGCCTCGTCGGACTGGTCCTTGCAGTCGCGGTCGCCGTCGCAGCGCCAGCCCAGGTGCACGCACTCGCCGCTGCGGCAGGCGAAGTGGGCGGCGGCGCAGGCGGCGGGCGCGGTCGCGTTCCCCGGGCGCGCGCGGCCGCAGAGCTCGGCCGCCTCGTCCGAGAGGTCCCGGCAGTCGAACTGGCGGTCGCAGACCCAGCGCTCGGGGACGCAGGCGCTGCCTTCGCCGCAGCGGAACTCGCGGGGCCCGCAGGCCGGGTCGGCGCAGCCGCGCTCGTCGCTGCCGTCGCCGCAGTCGTCGTCGCCGTCGCACACGAACACGGCGGCCAGGCACGAGCGGTTGCCGCACTGGAACTCGTGCGGGGCGCACACTGCGCGGGACAGACAGCCGGTCGGCCCGCCGAACCCCGTCCCCGGACACCCGGCCGCGGGTCCTGCTGCAGGGGCCGGACCCTCACCCCTGGGCCAGAGGGAGCCCTGCTGGGGGCTGAATGGTGGACGTGCACGCCAGGGACAGCAAAGGGGGCTTCCAATCCAGGTACTTGCGGGTGCGTGTGTGTGTGTGTGTGTGTGTGTGTAACACACTCTCCCTCCCGGAGCCTCCCAGCCTCACTGCCCGCTGGACCCTGGCGCTAGGAGGGTCTCTAAAGCTGCAGAGCGCCACCTGCAGGCCTTCGTGATGTTCCCAGGAAATGCTATGTAACATGGCACCGACCCTTCCAGGGAACTGGGTCTGGGCTGTTTCCTTGCGGCACGGCTCAGCAGCTCGGGTTCCCGCCACCCTCCCATGGCCGGTACTGCACCATCTGCGTCTCCGGGCCTGGCACCCACGGCCACGAGCACGGAGCCCCTGCGCTGGGCCATGGCCTCCTTCACTCTAGCACACACCCTGCTCTGATCATGCTAGACCTTTTGCGCACGTTCCACCTCTGGGCTTTGGCTCCAGCTGTTGCATCGGCTGCTATATACGTTGCCCACCACTGTCTCTACACTTTACAGAGATGGGTTCTCATCGGACGAGGGCCCAAATGCCACCTCTCTCCTAACACACTCCCTGCTCGGGAAGCCCCCCTCCTGCTCTCCTGCCGCTGCCTTTCACATCATGCTCAGGTGTCTGGGTCTCACATCCTTCTCCACGGCCCCAGGACCACACACTGCATGGCACTGGCTCTGAGACCAGCCCAGCATGGTGCTGAGGGCCTGGCCCAGGGCTCCCTGCAGTGGGTGGGTGTGTTGTGGATGGGTGCGAGGGCTCATTTAGGGGTGTGCAGTAGTTAAGGGCAAAGGTCACTGGCCCTGCCTGGGGTCCTGGGCTTTCCCTCTCTAGTGGGCTGCTCTGAGCTGAGAGGCTGGGAGGGCCTTAGAGATCACCAGCCCAGTTTCCAGTTTACAGACGGGGAAACTAAGGCCAGAGAGGGGAGCAATTTTCTCAGGGTCACACGGTCCAGGGTGACGAGGGAAACAGGACTCGGGTTTGGGGCTCTTCCTTCCTACTCTGGTTTTCTCCTGGAGTGTAAGCTGGTGTCGGAGCAGCGACCTCCTTGCCTCCTTCATTCCTTACACAGAGAGGCCAAGAACAAGCTGGGGGGCTGAGGTGGGGCTTGGCTGTGGCTGCAGGTAACGGGGTGGTAGCACCAGATCACTCCACATGGGGGCGCCAAGAGTCTGTTTTTATTTTCTGATTTTTTTTTCTTTGTTATTGAATATAAAATAGAACAATGCCTTCAGTTTCACAATGTAGGCAGCTCAAGTCACATGTTGCTGACAGTTCTGTCAAGTTTCTGACAGAAGCATTTTTTCCCTTCTAGGCTTTTGGGATGTTGGTGCTTTGGTGGGAAAAGCACATGTCACCCTGTGCTGTCTGCCCCTCACGATTATGCTGATGCCTAGATTAGCTGCACTCCTTCCTGTCCAGACTCGGCGTGTACATGTCCAGGGAGCGAGGACTCACGTTGTTCAGAGTTCTGGAAGGAAGTCCTTCTCTATAGTGAATTCTCTCCAACGTTTTGAAGCGGACAGCCACTTTAAGATCTGTATTCTCAGGCCTGTGCCCAGAGACCCACTCACAGCATTCACAAATGGAGGAAACTCTAGGGGACAGGAGGGGGGAAGCATTCTTGTTCCTTTTCCCAGGTTGGGAGCTGTAGCAGAGAAGCCCACTAAAACCATCTAACACCCCTGTCTGCTATGATTAATGGAACTTTCCTGCTACCGCATGCCAGGCTCTGGTTAGAGCTGTTCCCACCCCTGCAATAGTGGCTGATGGCCTTCATGACCGAGGAAGCACCTGATTGTGGGGGTGCGAAGGGGAGAGGATTCTCATGGGCGATGAGGTCCCACAAAGGAGAAAAGAGCCAATGCCATCATTGGGGCTTTGACACTGCTGGCCCCCGTCAGGATCTCCCCCATACCCAGCTGCTTCCTGCTTCAGGCACATACCCGAGACGTAGAATCTCAGAGAGCTGCGACTCAGAAGCCCCCAGAGGACAGGGCATTTCCCCTGCGCCAGGAAGGGTGGGTAAGATGCAGACACAGAGGTTGGTGTAGGGAGTGGGGTGGAAGACGGTGGTGGGCACATGCCTGGCAAAAGCTCCCGAGTGACCACCCAGCCTCACAGCCTGGTCATTGACAGCCGGTCTGTCCCCCCCCCCCCCCCCCATTAGTCATGAGCCCCAGAGAGGACTGTGTAGGACGCGCCTCTTGTCCCTTCCGGAGCCTGGCTCAGGCCTTGCACACAGTAGGAGCCCATCAAATTGAAACGAGTGCAGCCCAGCCACGCTCCCCACTGGCCTCGGCCCTGCTGGCCTGCTCCCTGGGGTGGAGATAATCTGTGTTTGAAGCTCAGTGATGTGGAACTGTCCCAGTGACCACTTCCATCTGTCCCTGCCGAGGCCGCTGGGAACGTCCTCTCTGCCCTGTGACGTTGTGCTTGAATCTGAGATTTCAGCAACAGTCCTTCACACCTCAGGAATCTGTCCTCTCCCCACCCCCGCCCCGGACACTACCAGTGCCCTGGCCCAGGCCACCACCATTTCTTGCTGCATCCCATCTGTTCTCCCTGCCCTTGCTCGGGGACCGGTAGAGACATGGAATGGATGAGCAAATGTCAGGCATGGTAAGAAAACACCTCGTGGGCTTTGCTGTCCAGACCTGAACTTGAATCTCAGTGCCAGCACTCAGCCTTGAGTACTTTTCCTCACTTGTCTGAGCCTCAGTTTCCTCACCCATAAAATGGGAATGATAATGACTGCTTGTGAGGTGGTTGTGAGGATGAAAGAAAACAGTGTCTCCAAAGTGCCTGGCCATCACTAGTGTCCTGATCGTCACCCTTTCCTTCCACCGACCACGCCCCCGGGGGCTGCCTGGCCGTGCAGCGCAGACCCGAGGGAGCCCACCCCGACTCACAGGTGGCACAGCCAGCCTCGTCCGCTCCACTCTCGCAGTCCTTCTCCCCGTCGCAGCGCCACGAGGCGGGCACACACTTGTGGCTGGTGGGTCCACAGCTCAGCTTCTCTGCAGGACACACCTGCTTGGCTGTGGAGACAGACACATGTGCATGGGTTGGCCAAGGAGGACACAGGGCCTAGTGCCAACCATCTGGCCTGAGGCCCTGGGAATCCACCAACGCCTTCCTGTTTCGTGTGTCTGGTGTCTTCATCTGAGAAGCCCCTGTCTGTCCTGAAGACTTTCTGAATCCTGTATCTGACTCCACCATGGCCCCTACCTAACTCTGTCTCATGCCCCCCTCGTCCCTGGTGATCAAGCCTCCTTGATCCGGCCAACTCCCGCCTGCTTTGACGGCCCCACCTCCCCTGGGTCCAAACCTCCCCTTTAAGCTCCAGCAACACGGAGCTCCATGCCCTGCAAGTATCTCTGCCATTTCCCAGCTGTGTCCTGGGGCAAGACATGCCCCGTTTGGGTCTCAGTGCCTCATTGATCCGAACCTGCAGATCTGAAGGGTTCACGAAGGCCTCAACAGCCCCCCCCTCCACCCGCCATACAACTCGCCCCCTCCAACGCGCTCTCCTGGCAATGGTGGGAGCCGCTGCTGAGAGCAGCCGCCTGTGGCAGGGCCCAGCGGGACCACACAGCTATAATTACTGCAGCTGCAATCAGAGGCTGACTCAGTCAGGGGCCCGAAGCCCCAGGCTTGATTCTCAATTTGGAAGAAAGAATGAGAACCCTGATGGGGCTGGGGATGGCGTTCATCCTGAGCATCTCAGGGTGACCCACGGGGCAGACCCAGCCAAGGCAGACGCCTCTGAGACCTTGGCGGCGGCTCCTGAACACAGTGGTCTCTAGGATGTGCCAGGCATAGTCTTCGTCTTCACAGAAACTCAGCAGGGGGAGGATTATCTTGTGGCACAGACATCAAGGGCCTGGGCTCTGGAGCCTGGCTGCCTGGGTTCAAATCCTAGCTCGGCCGCTCACTGACTAGCTACCTTAGCCAGTAATCCTCATCTCTGTGCCATTGAAGTGGGGATAATACTATTCCTTACCACATAGGGTTGTTATGAGGACTAAGGTCATGTCTGGGAAGAACTTAGGACTGGCCTGCCCAGCCTAGAGTGCACTAATGATACTCATTCACGGGTAACCCAGGAGGACTGGTTTATTCTCTCAGCGAGTATCTACCGAGCGCTGCTCTGCCCCAGCAACTGCGGCGATCACACAGCTGGTTAAGAACGGAGTGAGGACTCAGCGTCAGCTGTGTCTGGTGCCTGCAGCCGGACAGTCCACTGCACTGGGAAGCAGTGGGTGACTGTTGCCTGACCCTCACGCTTCTCTCTGATCCCAGACCAGTTCGTTCTCTTCTTACTTCCATAGCTGGGCTGAGGCCACAAGGGCTGGAGAAAAGGGCACAGACAAGACGGGGTGGGGGCGCAGGAGTCTGAGTCCTGGCCTCCAAACACTACTGTGCCATGAGAGAGGAGTTCCTTGGCCCCCAGTATGGACCCTGAAGTTATCCCTAGGACGACATTTCATGGACGACAAGGCAACCCATTGGGAATACAGGATTCATGTTACAGACATTTCCCTTAACAAGTGACTGTTGTGTCGAGTCTGGGGCGGCCTTGGGGCTGCAGTGCGGGTGGTGAGGGGCCTGGGATTTGGGAGGGGGCACCTCTATCACTGACACACTGTGGGCCCTCAGTAAGCACTTCCCCTTCGGGGCCCATCAGAACACAGGGAGCTGGGGCTGACCGGCATTTCCCAGCGTCCTGACTAAGGGATGAGGGTGTGGTGGCTGTTGGAAATACTCCAGCCCATAGTAGACTGAATCCAGCCTTCGAGGGCAGAGTCAGGAATCTGCATTTTAGCAAATCCCCCACCCCAGTGATTCCCATGCACCCCTTGGGAAACCCCCAGGTTATCATTCTGCAAGTTCAAAAGATATAGGATATTTCATCTCTTTTAAATTCACTCCCAGAAAAATGATAGCGATGTTCTATATGTTTGCAAGCCCGGAGAGAGCAATGGGGTGGAGGGACAAGGCGACCGTATGTCCCTGAGCCAGGCCTCAGGAAACCACCTCACTGGGGAGCTGGAAGGAAGTCAGGCGCACTGGGCACCTGCAGTGTGTCGGCCTGTTCCACGCTGAGCATTTGACGATTCCCCATTTCACCCTTACCCTCACCTGCCAGGTAAGCAGGCCCTGCAGGCTGTGAGTGTGAACTCCAGGGGCACCATTCATAGAAATGGTCATGTCAGCATTGCCCATGGAGTGGAACAGGGTAGTGGTCCCTCATCCTATGTCACAGATGAGGAAACGGAGGCTCAGAGAGACCAAGTAATGGCCAAAACGCACAGCGGCGAGAAGCAGAGTCCAGGTTACCCTTCCCATCAACCCCCACAGGCTCCTGCGGGTGGGGAAGGGGCTCAGAACAGCTCCAGACTCTGCCCCACATCCCAGGTGCTGGAAGGTCCCTCGACCACCCGCACCCCCTCTGGGGCTTGGTCCTGCAGACCCCAGGGCAGCAGGCAGCCGCTTGAACTTTTAATGAATATTTATACAGTTAATTGCATAACCTTTCAGCAAGGACAATGATTAAACAATCCGTCCGCTTCCTTTCTTTATAATTAATAAGACATTTGCCGTGTCCCTAAATAGACAGCTCTAATTATAGGCTCTCGAGGACTCGGCAGCGCCTGACAGCAGCCCTCCTGCCCTCAGAGCGCCAAGGCGCCGTGCTGGAATGCCAGGCTCCAGGGGTCATGGCCGTCACATGGAGGAGCAGCCGTTAGAGCCACAGGAGACAGAGGTCCGAGAGGGGAAGGGACCTGCTGAGGCTACGGGATGCCGGCTGTTCCAACGGCCCGTCTCTCCCGGAACCGCCCTGTCTCTGCTGTGATGTGGCTCTGCCCCCTGCTCTCCGGGCTCCTGGGCCAGGCCTCTCGCTGCAGGCCTTGGGAAGTGCAGGTCTGCTTATGAGGGGCACTGTCATTACCTTCATCTTCCGAACGAGGAGAGCAAAGCCTGGGGAGGGTAAGTCTTGCAGTGAGAGCAGAGCTGGGCTTCCATCCCAGGATGCACCTCCAAACGCACTGCTTGACTTTTTTGCACTTGATCACAAGAGAAAGCAGGCCCCTTGGGTTCCCACCCCTGTCAGTCTCCCCGGCATCCCTGGGGTGGAGAGGGTGCTGAAGGAAGGAGGCTCGAGGGGCCTCAGCTCAGGCAGGGTCTGCAAGATGGCAGGTGCCCGCCCGACGCCCACTTTCAGGAGGACTGAAGCCAAAGGCCTTGGGGAGCATGAGGTGGGCGACAGAGCCTGGGCTTTCGAGTTCCTTCAGCAAATCGCTTAACCTCTCCGCACACTGGCTCCTCTTGTCTGAAAACGGGATTACACAGTCTTCTAGATTTGGTGGGTGGTTTAAATGGGGAAACGGAAATGCCTACTCTCAGGACCTGCAAGAAACTCTAAGCTCAAAAAGAATGGCCCTTGTTTTAGTCCATAAAATGCAAATGCAATGGGCTGGGAGGGCCCTGGTCTCCCCCCTGGGGATGCACATTACCATGGCCCACCACGGTCAGCCCCCCGGCCCCCGGCCCCCAGCCCAGAACACAGGTGCCTGCCTCTGTCTCCCTGAGACGGATGCCTGAGGGAAGCCCTCGGCCTGCTGGTCAAGTATCCCCAGGTTCTGAGAGGCAGGAGCGAGGGACCCGCCTTCTCGGACGTGGGGAATCCTGCACAGCTGGCGAGGGCCCAACTGCACGCTGGAGAGGCTGCGGGCATTTACACATTCCCAGAGAATCTGCCCCAGAAATCCAAACCCGCGGGTACGTTCTCTAATTCATAAGCTCGCAAATTAATAAAAAGGGAAATGTCTGTTGAATAAAAGAATGAAAGCACTTGGTGGCTGCTTATTGAGCCAGCATGTGTGTGTGTCAGGTCACATGAGGCTCAAGGGCAGCCGACCTCCAAGTGGGGACTGCCGGCTCCAAGGGGACCAGAGTTCGGGCCCTGGGAGCGTTCAGTGTCCAGCTGCTGCCGGTGCAGAAGGGGTGGTTGCAGCAGCTCCTTCCCACGGGGGCAAAGGGCTAATTAGCATATTCAGCTTTTATTAGTATAGATAGGAAGGTACTCTTGGTTAATCAGTGAGGTCTGCTTCCAGGTGGAAAGGTTCTAAGATTCATGCATAAACCCTCATTTTCAATAAGCAGCACCAAGAACTGCAACTCATTCACCTTGAACCAAACTCCCCACCTCCCGCCCCTCCAGATGCCTGAAGGTGGGTCTGAGCCGTCCCCAATCAAGTGCGCTATAATTAGAGCTGCCACGCTACTTTCATTAGGCAAATGTCCCAGGCTTTCCCACTGTGACTCCTGGCTGCGTGTGACAGACAATCCAGAACCAGAGGAAAGAGAGCTGGGCGAAACCCCAGTCGTCGTGGAGGAATGCAGGAATGGGGGCTGCTCCCAGATCCCTTACCCTCTCGATGCAACCCCCCTCACTTATACTATTCTCAGATTTTAAACTGGGGTATGTGAGGGAGAGGGCCTGAAGTAAAAATATAATAATGAAAGTAACACTGCCCGTTACTGCAGCACTGACACTTTGCGAGCAGTTTTCCATTTGATCCTCACATCCCCTGCAAGGCAGATACCATTACCCCCATTTTAAAGCTGAATAAGCTGAGGTCCAGGGAGATTGGGCAATTTGCCTGAGGCCTCACAGGTTAGAGGACCTGAACCCAAATATATCAAACACCGTAGTACTCACCACACTTTACTATTGCCTATAATCCTTCTTTGGGGGTGGGGAGGGGCTCCATCCTGGGAGCTGGCACAATCCCCAGAAACCTGGTAGGCTGTGAAGGTTGCTATGACAACACCAATTCAATGGGCAGCGGGTTGGCTCTGGGGTTCTTGTTCAGTCAGGAAGCCTGCTACCAGGTCTTCCAATGCTGCCTGACTCTTGAGGTCCCCCCTGCCTCACCTCCTCCAGGCAGTCCTCCCTGCCCGTAGGCCTGTCCACCTCTGACCATGCAACTCTAGGCCGGAAGTGGGGTCCTGAGCTCGTGTCCCAGCTGGGCACAGGCAAAGGAGAAAGTATCTCAGAATCCTGAGTCTAGGAATCTTAGGATCACAGTTTTGGGAATTCTGGGATGTGAGAAACCAGGGCCCACAGAGGACCTCACAGTAATCACTGGGAGGACCCAGAGAGCTGGGCTCCTCCCTCCCTGGACGCAGCCTTGGCTACGCTCCCATGGGTGCTCTCTCAAGCCTCAGGGAGCCTGTGGAGCCTGTCGTCACGGGAGGCAGACCAGCCACGACAACCTGAGCATCTTGGAAGCAAAGCCCTCCACCGCTCTGGGCCGCCAGTAACTGCCTCAGAGCTGGGTGCGAAGCAGGCCCGGGGTGGGAAGGCAGCAAGTGCTAAGTGGGCAAAAAAGACAAAGACAGAGACACGGGGCAGGGCAGGGTGAGGGAGGGGCGCCAGCAGGGTGGGCAGGACCCGGTGGCAGGAGGAAGATGAAAAGGGACACCAACCCAGAGAAGTGGGGAGAGGGGAGCACAGCTCTCAGGCAGCAAGACAGATCCCGATAATAACGGTGATGCAGCTCTCCCCTCCCTCTCTGCCCCAGCATCCGGGGTAACTGCTGGCGTGAGGGCGGGTGGCCCAGCTGGCTGGCTGCAGTGGTGGAAAAGCCCCCTGTGGCCACAGCCCCTCCCCAAACGCATGCACCATGCACAGGCTGCACGGCCGCTGGGCGGCACTGGCTCTGCCCCTTGTTAGCTGGGTGGCCTTGTACAAGGGGTGAGCTTGTTCCAGCCTATTTCCTTCTCTCTAAATGGGGGTCCATCCCACCCTCTTGCCAAGGTTGTCCTGAGGATGAGAGTCACAGTGGGTGTGGCTGGGCTTTGTTCCTTTTGAAGCTCAAGACAATGAGCTGGCTGCCCCCTGCCAAGGCACCCCCAGGACAGCGCCGGGGTTGGCGCCTGGTGGGTGAGGAAAGGATCAGGCTTGGGGCAATGCAGGGAAGGTGAGGGCAAAAGGGAAGGGAGCTGGGGGCCCTGTCTTAGGCTGGGTTGTTCTTGCTCTCACTCTCTCTCCCCCTTTCTCTTTCTCTCACTCCAAGACTGGTAGCTCTGTTGCTAGGAGACAAGGAAACCCAGTTATCACTAGCTCAGCCCTCGATGGGACTAGATGGGACGCTGGCCTCCATTGTCCCTGCCTCTGCCTCTGGGACAACTGTACCCCTAACAGGACGCGGGGCTGTGATTGCAGTTCCCCCCAGCCCCACATCCTCCACATGCTTATCCCCCCCCCGCCCCCCGTCTTTTGTCTCAGGCTCACTCGGATGAAGCTCTGCCTCCAGGACCACTGGGTCCTTCCCTGCCCCCTTCTCATCTCCCTTTTTAATTTAACAAATGTCACAGAATGACCTGCTGGTGTAAGTTTGCTTTGAGGATTAGAGCCTGGAAAAGAAATCACGGAGAGACAAAGCCCTGAGTGTGGGGCAGGCCTGGGGCTCAGCTCTGCCAACCACTCACCCTGCTGCCTGGGCTGCCGCCAGCCGGCCATGGAGGCCGGGACCCGGGCAGAGCTGCCCAGGGTAGAGGAAAGAACTGAGGCCTCAACGTCCTGGCTGGGGAGCCTTAGGCAGGTCACTCAACCTCTCTGAGCCCGCTGTCCCCCTTGGTAAAATTCAGAAAGTGGCAGTCCCTGCCTCATGAGGCTGCTGTGGGGATAAGAGGAATTAATGTACACAAAGAGCTCAGCACAGTGCCTGGCACACAATACATGCTTCACAAGCACCAGCCGTTGTTAGTATTATTAGAATTATGATTAGAGTCCTCAAAAAGGTAGTGAGGCAGCGGGAGGGGGGGGGCGGCGCGCAGGGCTGGAGGATGTGCTATGGCAACTTCTGGGCAGAAGGCTCAGAGGGCTCTTTTAGAAGCGCCTGGTACTGCAGGAGCGGGGCCCAGTGAGCCAGGGAGCTGTGAAGACAGCCCGGAGCGGGATGCTGGACACCGGCTACTAGATTCACCTGCCGTTTGCCAGGAGCCCCGCGGGCACAGCGCCAAGTGAGTCCGGGCTGTGTTTGACAGATCACCTTCCTTGAGCCTCCCAACCTCCCACCAAGGAAGATCTGATGAGGAAACCGAAGCCCAAGGCCCCCTCCCGCAGCCCGAGGGACGGGACTCACGGCAGGTGGCCTGGAACTCATCGGAGCCGTCAGAACACTCCTCTTCGCCGTCACACTTCCACCGCTCGGGGATGCAGTGGCCGTTGTCACAGGTGAAGTCGGTGTCCATACAGGTCTTCTTGGCTGTGGGGAAGGAGAAGAGCATGAGGGGCCTGCTGGGCACAGGAGGCCTTTTTAGGACAGAATGTGCTGGGCCACCTGGCCTTCCATGGCCCCTATGTCACAGGGAGCCCCATCGACCGAGGGGAGAGAACAGGAGAGAAAGGCTTTTACCGAGCACCAGAGGGAGACCGGTGACACCTGTCCTGCCCTCCAAATTCAGAGCGAAGTCCAACAAGTGTGACAGGATCCATCCACCAAGGGCATGCCTGTTCCCTGTCACACCTCTCTCTTCCCCCAAAGTCTAGTTCCACTGTCACAGCCTCCAGCAAGTCTTCCGTGATCACCTAGGGCAGATGCTTTAGCCCCTTCCGCCAGTTCTCAGTCCCTGTACCTGCTCCCCCAACCAGACCAAAGTCAAGGCCTCGTCTGTAAGCACCAGAAGCTGGTGATAATAAATCAAAGGTGAATGGTTGTTTTATGACAAGATTAATGAGATATCCTCTGTTCAGAGTGGTGGAAAGAGAATCTACTGGCAAGACACCCAAATCAGTCTCTGTCCCTAGGGTGCTTCCAGGGCCTCCACACGGGGTTTGAATCCCAGCTCTGCCTCTGATCTGTCTGACATTGGGGTTGTTAACCTCTGAGCCTCTGTTTTCTTATCTATATAACTAGAGGCCCGGTGCATGAAAATCATGCATGGGGGGGTGGAGTCCCTTAGCCCAGCCTGTGCCCCCTTGCAGTCCAGGAGCCCTTGGGGGATGTCCACCGCTATGCTGGGGGGGCAGCTCCTTCGTTGAGCATCTTCCCCCTGGTGGTCAGTGTGTGTCATAGCGACCGGTTGTTCTGCCATTCAGTCTATTTGCATATTAGGCTTTTATTATATAGGATGGGAAGAAGGAGCAAAGGGCTCTGAAGAAGGAAGCAAGTTGTAATGTATGAGGAACACGCAGCAGAGATCCTGGCACATAACAGATGCTCGATAAGTAGCAGCTATTGCTGTTTTCATGGTCTGAAGTCTTAATTAGAAGCAAAGGAAATGGGTGTTCCATGGTCTCGTGGGGGATGTAGCAGGCTGAGCTCTCACAGCTGGGAGCAGAACTGGGACAGGAACACGGGGTCCAGTGGGGTGCTCTTCTCCCTGTCTCTCCACTGGCCTGATGCTCCCCAGTGTAGGTGCTGTCACATTCAGCACAGCCTGACGGGGTAGCTTTCAGTGGGGGCTCCAGCCCGATGGGAGCACAGCTGCCCAGCCTCTGCTCGCACATCCTGGGCCAGGGCTCCCCCTCCCCCCAGAAGCTCCCTCCCAGTGGCCAGCTTGGATTATGTCCATTCTCCCACAGGCCCTTGGGCTGCCTCTGGAGCAACATGACTGGGTTTCCTGAATGCATCCTATTTCTGCCTCTCCTTTCTTTTTAAAAAATATATATCTTTATTTATATTAGAGAGGGAAAGGGAGATAGAAACATCAATGATTAGAGAAAATCATTGATCAGCTGCCTCCTACACACCCCCTACTGGGGATCGAGCCCACAACCTAGGCATGTGCCCTGACCAGGAATCAAACTGTGACCTCCTGGTTCATAGGTTGACGCTCAACCACTGAGCCACGCCGGCTGGGCCTGCCTCTCTTTTCAGTGGAATCCTTGCAGTATATCTGCATGCTAGGATGTTTTCTTCACACTTTCCATAGGAGAACACCTTTGTGCACGGCTAGAAGAAACCAGAGGAATCAGAGTCCACCTACAGATGGGGAGCCTGAGGCTCAGAGACGGGGTCAGCCCAGGGAAACAGCAAGGCAGGGACCAGAACCAGCGTCCTGACTCCAGGCCAGGAGCCTGCGCAGCCCTCCGAGCCCTGCACCCGGGGCGTGGGAGGTCACCGATATCAATACCACCGCTAGGTAAATCATGGCCCATAATCACCTGAAATAAGGACAGTGATGACCACAGCACCTGGGCATTCCCAGCGGGGACAGCAGAGTGTTTCTCCACCAGAAGCTCAGCATCTAAGAGAGAAACATTCCTGTCCTACATTCCCTGAGTGTGTCCCGTGTGCCAGTCCCCGTGCGAGGCACTTTCCCAGGAAACCCCACGACAAGGGGCCCTATGTCCCGCTCGACGCATGGGAAACCCAGGGGTGCTAAGTTACACGCCCAAGGTCACATGTGGGTGGAAGCAGGGCCACAGTTTGACCTCCCAGTCAGATGCCCTGGTAGCTGCTGTTAATCCCATTTTACACGAGAGGAAATTGAGGCTCAAAGAGGTGAGGGTGGTGGTGGCAGAAGTGGGATTTCAATTCCATGTGGCAGCTGCCAAAGCGTAGGCTCCCTCCACGAAGGCCCTCGGCCATCTCAGCGATACAGGCTAAGAATGAGGACTCCGGAGTGGCAAGTGCAGTGTGACTGGGTTCCAGGAGCCACCGGTCCAGGCAGATCAACATAGCCAGGAGGTGCCTGCATGAGGTGTTCTCCTGGATTGTGCCCATAAGTGTGAGCAGAATGAACCTGGGCAATGTCAACGGGTGCTCTGCTCGTGGGCTGTCCTGGGGAAACGGAGGCGGGCAACCTGCCACTTTAGGTCGGGGACCAGACTAAACCACCTTGATGGGCCTGTCTGAAGTGTAACAACGTGGAAGGATTTGGAGTCAGAGCGGAGACTGAATCCTGGCACGGCCACCTCCTCCCCGGGTGACCTGGGCCAGTTCCTCCCCGTTCTGGGCAAGTGGGGACGGTGGCTTCCCGTGCAGCACGGACACAGAGGAGGCAAAAGGCTCCCCTGGGGGACCCGAGCAAGCGCCCGGTGCCGGCTGTCCAGGGAAGTGAGCCGACAGCCCCTCGTCAAGAGGCTGCATCAGCACTGCCAAGCGATGAGGGCTGGGCAGTCTTCCGAGGTGTCGGACAAGCCATGCCAGCCCCCGCTCTCTTGGCCGTGGCCGCCTTGGCTCCAGCTCCCGGGGTGATTCCCCAGCTGGGCGGGAGGCCGTGGCTCCCTGTTTCCAGGGATTCATGTCCCTCCATGCCAGTCGCCCCTTGGACAATGCCCACCTCTGTGGGTCCCTGTACTCCACAGCCCAGGAGCAGTATGTAATCATCCAGGGTCTGCGACATCATAATCTGGTGCCATGGCAACAGATGAGCTGCCACAAAGGGCTTGGGATTCCACAGGCCAAGGGGGAGAATGGGAAATCCAGGACAAAGGAAGTGGGAACGGCTGTTTATAACAAGAATACTGGCCAAGGAAAGTGTCAGACAGTCCATGCAAGTTATATAACTTCTCTGAGCCCTTTCTTTCTTTCTTTCTTTCTTTCTTTCTTTCTTTCTTTCTTTCTTCCTTTCTTTCTTTCTTTCTTGCTTTCTTTCTAATATGTTTTTTTATTTCAGAGAGGAAGGGAGAGGGAGAGAGAGATAGAAACATCAATGATGAGAGAAAATCATTGATCGGCTGCCTCCTGCATGCCCCCCACTGGGGATCGAGCCCACAACCCAGGCATGTTCCCTTGACCGGAACCGAACCCGGGACCCTTTAGTCCACAGGCCGATGCTCTATCCACTGAGCCAAACCGGCCAGGGCTGGGCCTCACTTTCTTCATCTGCATTCGGGGATAATCTCCCTGCTTCACCACACAGGCTTGTTGGTGAGTGGGCTAAGGGTGGTGCCAGTGCATAAACTGAAAGCATAAAGGCGCAAGTTTGCGGGGTGTGGAGCCAGCAGCCCCAGCTGTGGGTGTGACATGGGCCCATCAGTCACAGACGAGGCCTATCTCCTCATATGGAAGTGGAGGTGTGGTGCCGACTGCATCTGAAGCCCCTCTCTGTACCCAGAGTCTATGATCTTGTGAAATTATTATGCTCACTCAGCACCTGCCAGCACCCACCCCCAGAGGCATCCTTCCCGAGACAATATGCATCCTTCACACTGTTATTCCCTCCCACGCTCATCCCACAGCCCCGTGCATACAGGGGGCTTCAAAACAGAGATCAGCCTGGGCTGCCAGGCGGAACTGCTTGGTGTGGCTTCCTCTTGGCAATCACAGGGCTCTGTCGTGTCAGAGCCTCGAAGGCCTCTATGAGCTTGGCCGTTCTATAAGCCGGAACACCAGGGGCAGAAGGAAGCGGCTGCTCAGAATCACAGCACTGTCCGTGGGAGGGCTGCACCTGCACCCAGAGATTCTGACTCCCGGACTCACCATGTCTAGGGGTCAGGAAAGGCTTCCGGGAAAAGGGACCGTATTCAAGGAAGAGGAGTCAGCCAAGCTGTGGGAGCGAGGAGAGCAACGAAGGGCATTCCAGGGTCACAGGGCCTGGGACATGGAGCAGAATGGCCAGGCAGGGTTGGGGACCTGGGAGCTCCCTAGGCCAGGGCCAGCTCGCCCCACCTCCTCAGAGCCCGGCGCAGGGGCTGGCTTTTCACCCAGAGACACCCAGCCTCGGCTCAGCACAGGGCTGCTTCCTAGCAGCCAACCAAACTTACGGCTCTCAGCTGCTGGGCCTCCCTAGCAGAGGAGGAGGCCGGCAGAGGGCGGGACATGGAGCAGGTGGCCAACCCCCCGGATGTTTGGGATAAGACACTTATTTTCCCTCTTGGAGATCTATGGTGCCCACTGGCTTACGAAAGCCCCGAGAAAGCCTGCAGTAAAGGTATTGAATTGACAGTTCCCTCCAGCATTTCCCAAACTTGTTAGCCAAGCAACTTCTATTTTGGTTGCCATGTATGTCCTTTTCCCAGAAACCAGTGGTCTAATGAACCCCACCCCGGGAACACCACTGCAGTGCCAGCCCCTCATTGTACAGATGAGGCCCAGCGGGGAAAGACTGGCCTGTGGTCACACAGCAGATGCTCGTATCCAACTTTCTGTCCCTGGGCCGGCCCCACCAAGCAGTGAATATAGGAGAAGGCGTTCCCAGGAACCTGGCCCAGAGCAAAGCTGACGAGACACCATCCCAGTCCTCAGAGCAGGGACATGTCCAGAGGAGAGCCCAGCATGGGGAGGGGGATTGATACCAGGCCACACAGGACAGGAAG